AAAATTAAATAAATTAAATAATTTTCTTAACATGCTTAACATTTTTTTTAATGTTCTCAGTAATTAAAGTGTAAGTATTTGCAGTATTTGCATTTAATTTGAGTTTTTGTAAATAATGATCTCTTATTTTAAAATAAGAAAAATAAGATATTTTATGTATAAAAACCATCAATTTAATATAAAAGCACAAAAACTGCCAATATATCTATTATATCTATAATGGAATACGTATTTTATTTTTAATTTAATACAGTTATTGCTATTATTGGTCACACCACATGATGAGTGGTTGCTCCAAATGACCCAAAGACCTTATATCATTAAAAATCTATTTAAAGAGACGTGTGAAAAGTGCAGCACGTGGCATTAACTGCAGGCATTTCTTTAGCCCCAGTTATTTCTGTACTTTGCCCAGTATTGGCTGCTCAATTGACCCTTTTTTTTTTTCCAAATTTGAAAGAGACTTATAAACCTGCTTGATGCTTCCATGGGTCCTTAGCAAATTGGTATAATGATGCAAAGTCCTATCTTTGAATGGATTTCAACATAAAAGTCCAAAAATTGTAGTTTCTTGATGGTCGCACCACATGATATTTCATAAAACGGACATCATCGGACAAAGTTTGTTTTTATATTATGATGGAAATATAAATACAAATGCTTTGCAATTTTACACAGGATTACAAAACACTTTGGAAATCATGCCAAATAGTGTATACAATTTATTTGAATAAATTTAGGGTAATTTCAAAGATGTTTACAAAAAAAAAAAGAAATGGCCGGACGGTCGCACCACATGATATTTTGACACTTTGAATAACAGAAAAATTACAAATAACTAATGTTTTTTGAAAAGTTAAAGTGAGTTCATACATGGGAGAGGTCCTTCATTTATATGGCATCTTTTTTATGCATTTAAACCAATTTTTAACTGAAAAAACGCAATCGTCATTGACCCACATATATCCAAGCTTCCTACAACTTTTGACCTTTAAAATTTCAAGTCATTATTTTCTTCCATGTCTGAAAATGTCAGTGGGAACCCTGTGAGTATTTAGCACTTATTTTTGTTCATTTCAAACCTTGATATGGAATTCCAGGTTTTCATCCATGGAGTAAATGTAGTTGAATATATCCTGGACGATCCGCGGAATAATGCCCATGCCATCTGGATCGTGCAGGTTTCCCTAAACAATTGCACAAACACGAATTCAAACGCTATGATAATGTCTGATGATTTACGGTACAGTAGTTGCCATAATTAGCAAAAATGGAATCAGTGGAATCAGTAACAAAAACACACTTAAGTTTGTTTTAAAGTAGCTAATTGTTGAAAATCATACTGCCTGTTGCAGTAAACAATTCTTTTTGACTCTGAATATGTTTATTTCTAGAGGAATTCTCACCTCCATAGTGTGTGTTTTTCCAGAAGAGGTTTGTCCGTAAGCAAATATTGTACCGTTATAACCCTCAAGCACATCTGCAGGGCACAAACACAGCAAAACATTCCATTTGAATAAATGCCCCATATAAGAAATACGGTATTTAGTGATGCTTAATTCATATCAATGAATTATTAATGATTACATATTAATGGAAACATGAAAGTTTTTTTTTTTTTTTTTTTTGAAGACTGTATTCTCATCAAATACAGCATTGCAACTGATGCAACTGAATCATTTTTGTTAAATACCAATAATACACCACTACTGGTGTTTTATATAAAACATTAAAACTGTGAGTTTGTGAATTGTATGTGATAAGCGTAAGACTGAGCGCAGCTAAAATTTTATTTTACTTTTTTTATATTTTACTTTTAATAAAAAAAGTTTAAACCAACAAGAAAACGAGTCCACAAGTAATTGAATCAGTAATAGCTATCAATCATGGTATTTCAACTCAAAAACAAACGAAATACGTTGGAGAAAAGAGTATTGGTAATTGTTTAGCATGTCCGTCAGCTGTGCATCTCTAAAAATAGAGGTAAAAAAGCACAAATAATCTACTCAATAAAAGGCATAAATTGTTACCAGTTTGACAAGTGTAATCATTGTGTATTAGATGGCTATTTTCCCTGATAGCATTACGCTTGAACAAATCGATCACATAAGTGGGATGAACATGGGCATAAGATTTAAGAATGTGATGTCAGCATTGGCAGTGAAAGCCTGTCATAGGAGTAGTAAAGTAATCCCTTTACATTCAGGTAAACTCCCATTCATTCACACAAGACAGTCACTAATCACCTTACAACTGATTGACACCCATCAAAAGACAATACATTATCACAATCCAGTCAAAAATACAGCTGAGACCCCTCACAACACAAGACACATCAGAACTCCTCTAAAAGATCCAGACGCTGTTGGGAAATAAAAATAAACAGGGTGATTTGATACCCAAGAGCTTGAAAGAAGAGCCATAAAGATTATATGACATAATAAAAACTGGTTCATGGTCTTTTTTTGATCCATGAGCGCTATGAGTTCTTGGTCTCATTGAATATGGGATATAAAAATACTGTAAGACAAAGATAAAGGAAAAACAAACAGAAGCGAACAAACTGCAGCTTAATTCACATTCTGTAGCCTAATTCACATAGAAAGATTTCTGAGTCTTTTAAAGAAGTCTTTTTGATTCACTTCTTGGTTTAAATCATATTGACAAAATCTACACCGAATGAACTTTAAAGGTTACAGTAGCAAGTTCTGTGATGAATCTGCTCATTAGCAGGGACACTTCCTCGTGATCCTAATTGGCTGATTCTGGTTGACGTGACCTCTCCACTCCCGACTGACTTCTTGTCAACCGTCCAAATGGCAAATTTCCTCACCATACCACTATAACACAGGACTAGATTAACCAGGTGAGGAAACAGCTGTGAATGTAACACAGCTAGGCAGATTAGTTTACCTGACCAACCTCTAACACATTACACACTCACATCTACAACACCACAAGCCTACATCTAAAATTCATTTTAAGAGGCTTATATTGGTGTCCAATGACCACCGCTAATATCAAGATATCTTGAATCTATACGACCACATAATCTCAGCAAATGACACAAACACACAAAATTGCTGACTTTATTGAACAGTAATTTGCATAATCTCCAAAAATACTTAAAAACAGACAATGTGCATCATGTACTGAAAATCCTTTACTATAATTTATGTATTTATTTCATACTATTATTATTAATATTATAATAATAATATTTTTTAAGAGACAACACTTTCGTTATTCGGTAGGCACATTTATTGGCTGATGCCAATAATCTTGGCCAAATATCTGACAATTAATTTCTGAGTGTTGTTATAGTATTATATATACACTAACAAAGTATTTAAAAAAATTATAATAATAAGTTTTCATTTTAGGTTTTAGTAATTTTGTTATGTGTTTGTCATTTTTATTCATTTTTGTTTTTTTATATTTCTATTTAGCTTTATTTTTTATTTAAGCTTTAGCTTTAGTAATTTTAGCAGTTGTACTTCAACTTTCAGTTAGTTGGCAAAGTAACATTTCTAATTTTCATTTATGTTTTATATTTAACAAAACTTATATTTTATTTTAGCTTTGTTTTAATTAACATTTGTAATAGTTTTAATAGTATATGTTACTGTCCCCAACAAATCAATAACATCTACCCAGCAAGTTTACATGATACAGCAACATACAGCTTTTTTTTTTCGATTTTACATTTTCTTTAATTACCTCTAGGGCTGCACGATAAATCGCATGCGATATTTAACGCGCATCTTGTCAGTAAAGCCATTCTGTAATCAGTGGTAAATCTCCATCACCTGCGGGTTTTCACATGGAGCAGCATTAACTACACAGAGCCGTTGTTCACCGACAAGCTGCGCAAAACATGTGCAAAATATGATCGTGGTTTTGCGCAGCTTGTCAGTGAACAACGGCTCT